ATTATTTTAAAAATTCTAGCAAGTTAATATTGTTTATATTTATGTAACACACGGGATCTCACATTAACTGGATGAAATTATATGTTACTTTGGTATTGATTTAATTAATTGAATCTTTATTGGATGATTTTGGATATTAATTTAATAAATTGAATGTTAATTGGATGAATTTGAATATAAATTGTATGAATTGAATGTTAATAGGTGAGAATTTGATGAATTAAATGTTAATTTAATAAATTGAATATTAATTGGATGTAATTTGATGAATTTAATGTTAAATACTTGAATGTGAATGTTAATTTGATAAATTTTATTAGATGAAAGTAAATATTAATTTGTTGAATTAAATAAAAATTTGGTATTGATTTGATGAATTAAATATTTATTGAATAAAATTGCATATTAATTTGGTGTTTATTTGATAAATTAAACCTTTATTGGATGATTTTTCATTTTAATTTGATGAATTGAATGTTAATTTGGTGTTAATTTAATGAATTAAATAGTAATTGTATGAAATGAATTTTAATTTTGTGTTAATATGATAAATTGAATATTAATTGGATATAATTAAATATTAATTTGATAAATTTAATGCTAAATGGTTGAATTTGAATGCTTATTAGGTGAAAGTGAATGTTCATTTGGTATAAGTTTGATAAATTGAATATTAATTTGATGAATTTAATGTTAAATAGATGAATTTCAATGTTAATTTGATGAATTGAATTTTAATTGGATGAATTTGAATATAAATTTTATGAATTGAATGTTAATATGGTGTTAATTTGATGAATTGAATGTTAATTTGGTGTTAATTTGATAAATTGTATAGTAATTTGATGAAATTGAATGTTAATTTGATGAGTTTAATATTAAATAGTTAAATTTGAATGTTAATTTGATAAATTTTATTAGATAAAATTGGATGTTAATTTGTTGAATTGAATATTAATTTAGAATTGATTTGATGAATTAAATGTTAATTGGATAAAATTGCACGTTATTTTGGTGTTAATTTGTTAAATTGAATCTTTATTGGATAATTTTCGATTTTAATTTGATAAATTAAGTGTTCACTAAATGAATTTGAATATAAATTAAATGAATTGAATTAAATGGTCAACAAATTAGCTCTCAATAACATTACTCTTGGAGGCTGTTTGTTTGAGGTATAAGGGTGGTATAAGGGGGTTATATAAGGAAAATAATATGTGGGGTCTATATTAAATCTTGTTTGTTTACGTTTTTTATTAGATACTAATTTCGAAGTCATAGTACCGATTCGGTGTGAACAGTAACACTAATGTCTTCTACACGGTGCTATTCAATACCACCTATCCGGTGGTATAATATTCTTAGTATAAATGAATGGAGGTATAATAAATTAAAAAAATCGAAATACCTTCAGGTACAATGCCCATATACCTAGTCTCCCATTGAGTTTACACCGGAGTCTTGGACTTTTCAAATCATGGCAAAGTCTTTTTCATTGTTGTCTTTTTTGGGTACATCTAGGCCAGTTTGTTTCGAGTATAAAATTTATGTGGTATAAAATTTTATATTTATTTCATTTCAATTCGATAATATATTATACCCGGTCTTAAACTATAATCTCATCCTTCATCTCGTTTGTTTGTCACAAACATTATCTGTGTAATACCTATTTAAAAAAATCAACAATTGTCACTAACCAATGTAAAAAGACAATTTTAACCTTAAAAAGTTAAAAATTGCAACTAAACTTTCATATACTTGAGGGCATTTCGGTCTTTTTAGTTTATTATACCTCCATTTATTTTTACCTAGAATATTATACCATTGGGTAAGTGATATTGACCAGCACCGTGTAGAAGGCATTAGTGTTATTGTTCATATCGAGTCGGTACTATGACCCGAAAATTAGTACTTAGTAAAAAATACAGAACAAATAAGGTTTAATGTAGGTCTCATATACTACTTTCTTTATACCATCCCCTTATACTTCAAAGAAACAGCCCCGTAATATTGAATAGCGGATGAGACTTTTAAACTTCTTTAGTTAAATCTTTAACAGAGAAGGTTCTAGGTTCATTGCACATCTTTTTTAGTTTAATGGTAAATTTCATATTTCGTCTATTTGATTTTAATTTGATTTATAAACTTTCAATCCTATTTTGCACAATTAAGTTCTTTCATTTATTTTTACAATTAGATCAATACCGAAATAGATCAAATTTAACTAATTTTTAGTTGATCTAACAGTAAAATTTGATTGAATAATTTAATTAAGATGAAATTGATAATTAAGGAGCTAAGTTAAAATACTTGAAAGTTTAGAGACAAAATTATAATTAAAAATAAAATTTAAAAATCAATTATGATATTTATCTTAGCTCTCGAGACATAAAACATAAAGACCATTCACCATTATATTTATTTTCAGATATGAACAGAGAATGACCCTTTTGAACCTCTTTCTGAAAAGGTTAGGTTCATCGCACCTCTGTTATTTAAGTTCAATGATTCATCCATTTTACTATCAGCAGCAATAGAACTTTTGGCTTTCACCCAATTCCGGATCACCAGAAAAATACCGTAAGCGGAGAAAAATAATCGTACAATGTCATCGACGGAGGAGGACAGTGCATAACGAACTCTACGTTTTCTCGGGCCGAGACGGAGACGACGACGACGACGAATTTGAAAGCATGAGTAAGTCCCCTCTTTCTCGCTGTGTATGTATATCACATATACACTAATTACAATTAATATCACACCAGTGTAAGTAATAAAATTAATGTTCCTCTCTCTTCCAGTTCACTAATTATCTGTTTCTCTTTTCCCTCCAACCCCAGAAAAAATTAACAATGGGCTGACAAAAGCTGTTATGAATCCAACCCCAGAAACTCTTAGCAATCAATGGCTGACAATAGCTGTTATGAAAGATTTACTCAGGCGCCTTTACTTCTATGGTCCAGATCGATTTCCAGTTCTATTTCAGTTTTGGACGCCTAAATCAAAGGGAGGTAACTGGGTCCTTACAACTTCAGATCAACCTTTTGGTGTTAAAATTTTTCATAAAGGACTCGCTGCGTGTAGGAGTTACTGTGTGCATAATAATTATGTTATTAGTGACAATAAAGAAGGAGACATTGGCCCTCACTTGCGTGTGTTCCGAGGTAAATGCCTGGAATGGATTACAAATGTAGGGTGTTATTCTGTCAAAGAGTATCCACAGCAGCAATATGCTATTTTTGTGGCGTACGGGGACTGCTGGCTTTGCCATTAATTAGAGATAGGGGCGGGCCCTGTATTGGTGTACTGGAAATCTTAACGACTTCAGACCGACCCATAGGATGGTCGGATGTTATGAATGTATGCTTGGGGCTTAAGGTTAGTATTTCTGATGTAGTTTGCAATATTTAGTTTAGCTTTTTTTTTTTTTTTTCATTTTGGCTTTATTTAATCGTTTATCGTAGGCGTATCACAATGCATTCATACTCTGCTTACAAGATGCTTAAATACAACTTTAAGCTATCATCCGGCACCCATCTATTAGAATTTGTATTTCTTATGCACTGAAAATAAATAGTAAAAAGAAATAGAAACACTACAGAACCCGTGAGATAACATAGTTCTGATCCGTATGAGCGGTGTGCCAAAAATTTATAATCAAGAATGAAGATCACAAAATAGTTATCTAAAACGGAATGAAGGGAAATAATTTCCCAACTCTAGTGCATATTTCCAACACATATGGGCACCCAAAAACTCTTGTTTCCTAATTTTACCGGATTTCAGTAAACCCTTGTTTTCTAGTTGGTGTAAGATTTGTGTATGTTACAATATGACATATTTTTCATATATTAAGGCTCCCTTTTTGCTTTAGTAGACTCCACAATGCACCCCTTTCTACCTTCAAAATCTTATACAAGAAACATTCGCAAACAACAAAATTATGAATTTAGAAAATAGAATACAACAATTATTGTCCTAGGATTACATTACAACGTAATCAATTTAGCGTATTCAATCATTTACATAAATCATAAGGCTGCGCATATCATGTAAACTTTCCTAAATGCTTCCAGCCTTTTATCTTCCATTTGTGACGGTTCAATATTTCTTAGTTACATTAATTCGGTTCCCTTGTAGGTAGCAGGTCTGGTGTCTCCAAATAAATACAATCCTCCTTCTGTGCTCGTAAGTTGCAAGTAAATTACAAATGTCAATTTTTTTTGTGTTTTCAAATATACCTTCGCAAATAACATCATCTTACTAGATGTTTGAACGTACAAAGAATGCATTCCAAGAAATCAATAAGGCATTAGACGAGGTTTGTAAGGCACTTCAAATACCTTTTGCTCAAACATGGATCACATGCCTGGATTCGGTTGCTGGCTACAGTTTCTTTGATGGAAGTGGGCATGACAAGTTGACAACTGTTAATGCACCGTTTTTTATGGCAGTGGATGACTTATACCGTTTCCACATAACACATCAACTATAACATATACAAAAGGGCAAGGGAGTTGTTGGCAGAGCATTTTTATCCCATAATGCATGCTTCTGCAAAGATACAACTAAGTTGAGCATAATTGAGTACCCCTTAGTACACCATGCATATGATGCTGGGTTAACTAGCTCTTTTGTAATTTCCCTGCGGAGTTCATACACTGGAGATTTTGTTTACATACTGGAGTACTTTTTGCCCCCTGTAAAAATAGATGGTGAAGACCTCCAAATGTTTTTGGACTCGTTATTGGGCACCATGAAGCAGCATTTCCACAGTTTTAGGGTTGCTTCAGGAGAACTGGGTGAAAAATTGTCTGTTGAAGTCATTAAATTGTCTATGGATGATAAACTTAACTCCTTTGAAATATGCCAAACGACTAGATCTCCACCTAGGCTTGAAGCCATTAGAGATGGAGAAGAGATAACAGTGGAAGTTGCCACAAATAGTGGAAGGAATGTTGTTGGTGCAGAACAAAGAAACTCAACTAGCTATCTGCCTTTGCTTGAGGCCTGTCAAAATGGAAGCAAGATAGTGCAGCCAGATTCATCATATCATAAAGCTATGACTGAAGTTGATGCCACCAATAGTGGAAGGAATGTTGTCAGTGTAGAACAAGGGGATTCATCACATTGGAAATCTATGTCTGAAGTTGATGCCACAAATTGTGGAAGGAATGTTGTTAGTACAGAACATAGAGCCATTAGCAGTGTCTCTGCGGTTCTGGCCTTGCAAAATGGAGGACAGACAGTGCAGCTAGATTCATCATATCAGAAAAATATGGCTGAAGTTGATGCTACAAACAATGAAAAAAAATTTGCAAGTGCAGAGCAAAGCGATATTGCTGATATTCCTCTAGAGAAAAGAGGCCCAGCAGAGGGATCTGACAGAGAAGGTGAAATTAGTCGTGAGGTTCTGGAAATACTATTTGGAACGGATATTGAAAATGCTGCAAAGATTCTTTGCGGTAAGCTTATGCCCATGGAAAATCATTGCTCGTGATCTTCATCTTGTCATTTACGAGTTGCTATGTTCTTCTTATAGCTTCTTGTGATTGTAAAAGGTTCTCTTCTCTTTATTTGTTTGTTTTGCAGTTAGCCGATCTACATTTAAGCGTAAATGCAGACAACATGGCATCAAGCGGTGGCCGTTCCCCAAGCGAAACAGGGTTACTCGCTCCCCTTCTCAGCTTGAATCTATTCGAGGCGCTAACAAACAAACCGGAGAATCTAGTCGGAGAGACTGTCTGCCTTGTGACAAGGCTCCTAAGCAAGCCACAACTTCTATTGCTTCCACAATGCCACATGCTTCAGCAAAGCAAAATGAGAGCTCTGTGACCATAAAGGCAACATATGGGGACGACATTATCAAGTTTCAACTCTCTTTTTCGTCAGGAATGGTGGAGTTAGAGGAGATAGTGGCAAAAAGGCTAAACTCAAAGGCTGGAAGTTTCAAAATCAAGTATGCAGATGAAGATGATGATTCGATTTTAGTGTCCTGTGATGAAGCTTTGCAGGATTGCATAAATAGTTGGAGATCATCGGACAGGACTACAGTCAAAATGTTGGTTCTGCCAATTATCAATTAATTACCTTGAGCCTTGACTAGAATGTATTTATGCGTATTTCTCTTTGCTTATGTCTATCTTTATACACATCATTGCACACTTACATACATACAAAAGTTTACCATCTTTGTATATGTTATGCTTCGACCTAACTGTTCCTCTTTTGTCCTCTGCCAAAACATTAACTTACAAACATTTTATGTTGAATGTCTTCTTAGTTCCTGAACAGAAGATAGTCCACTGTTTCTGCAAATACGATTGCAGTTGCAGACTTAATTGATTACTGTCTCATACATATAATTATTTTGCAACGAGGAACCTCCCTAAAGCATAGTTGTATTAGATATATTTCTATAAAGTACTCTGAATATTTGTAATCATTCGTTAATTATGGATATCGATTAAATTTCAAAGTCATCCTTATATCCAATTTGATCCAATGGGGTTGAAGAGTGAGTGTTTTAAGGATCATTATAAGATTAGTTATGACTTGAATCGGCTGAGGTTTAACGCTTGTTCTGTATAAATCTAAAGCATCAAGGATAGAAAACCTTAAAGTTCACTGTGGCTTCCTAGGTATCTCACAATAGAACTCGTTACCTTTTTGCTCCATCAAGAGAGCAGGAAAGTGCACAGAGAAATCTACTGATCAACTTCAATTTTTATTGAAGGAGCCGCTTGACAAGAAAGATTCAAAAGTTGCTAGATTTTGCTATGTCATATTGTCTTAATTTCATTTATTAATGAATATATTTCAAGCTTCATTCAATTATCTATCCCGACAAGTTGAAATTAAATAGATGTTCAGTTCATAAGTTTCACCAAATGATTTTACTCAAATAGGTGCATGACTCTATCAAACGATGGACCAGAACTCCAGTTAGCACATCTTCAAAACATTTATATTTCCTCATTAACTGAAATTATGTACTAAAATAAAATTTTGATCCTTAATTATACGTTCTCTGATAAAACCTGCTTATACAGAAGAATAGACAGCGGATCTACATAAACTTAAAAATAGGTTCGAAGAAAACTCACTCCCATACAACAAGAAATCTGGACAATAACCAAATACAAACATAATACAATCACACAAGACCAAGCAATTTACGTGGTTCGGCAATTGCCTATGTCCGTAACAACAACGATCGGATGTTTTCACTATTTAGAATAAACAGAGAGTACAAGAACAATTGTTCTCAACCTCACAAATACTCACTCCAACAAAATAGGATCACTCTGATATCTCACTAGTATCACTCACAAATCTGAGAACACTCAAATTGATACCTGATACCACTCAGGAGAACTCACAACTCTCAAATGTTTGAGCTCTCAATTTTCTGATGCTTAACATCTGTCAGGACCTCCCTTTATATAAGGAATTGGAAGTGGAAACGGACAAAGCTGCATATCAGCGCAAATCTGCACCTGAACTGTGCACCCCTGTCTGAGCCAATTTTTCTTGCGTAGCCCACATGTTGCTGACCTATGCCCATCACCTATGCTACTCATTTTGTCAAAATGATGGGGGCTCCCTATGTCCATGCAGTAGCCTTATCATGGCTTTCTTGCCAAAAGTTTTTGGCCACATTAAAAGGCGTTGTGCCAGAAAGGCCACAAAGTCAACAACTATTTCCCCTCATTTTTCTACGAAAAGACTCAAGATAAAACAACTAATACGCCCTCGGGTTCAAGAGGACTGAGCCATAAATCAAATTAATCATTAAATATTTTGAATACCATAGACAAAGATATTCAATAAATCTATTACACTTGTAGATACCTTTCGGAAACAAACTTAGTAATTGTAAGCGGTGTATACATGGTTTTTCTAATAATTCAAAGTAGAGGCATAACAGACTGCAACACACATTGTGATGTTACATGCGCACCCCTAACTCTGTTGTGATAGAATGAGCAAAGCTATTCCAGCATCTTGGCAGACTAACATTAATCAGTTCAAGACTCTCTGATGTCAAATATTGTACATTCCTCAAATAAGAGAGCCACTTTGGGACTAATGATTCGTTTGTTAGGGAGTATGGAAAGTAAGATGGATAGAAAGTAGGGATGATACACTTTCTATCCTTTAAAGAAGCTTTTTTCTTTCCTTTGTGTTTGATATGATGGATGAAAAATAAAATAATTAATTTTTTGTGTTTGGTATGCATAAAAAAAATGGAAGAATGGAAACCATATAAATGCATAATTTACTATTTCTCATGCGATTCTTCACATTATCCTTCTCCAATGGGAAATCAAGTTTTTCATTGATTGTTTTCAAAACATTATTGAATGCAGACCAAGTCCCATTTGATTTATTTCCTTTCAATTGCTCATCCAACAATGCATCAAGTAAAATTTCATCTCAACGTTCTGTCCATGTCACATTATCCTTCTTGATGTCATCACCATTTTCATTTTTCTTTGATTTCTCTCCCATTACTCAAACTGCTTGTCAACAAACCAGCAAAGTCATCCCACAATACGGTAAAATGACTTCAAGAGCATAGACACAACTTACTGATTAAGACTTCAAGATTAGCTCTGATACTACTACTTTGTTAGCTTTATACCACTTTAATTATTAGAAAAAACTGGAGGGTGTGATTTGACAAATTTATGGTGAAGTAAACTGGAAGACATCAAGTGCATCTAACATGCCTTTACTACATTTTTTTTTTTTACTCCAAATTCATAGCAGTCACAGGTACTATTAATTTTCATTAGAGTAAGGCAGTAAAAGCATTATCCCAATATAAGATTCTGCCCAAAATCCTGCAAATATATGTGAATTGGGTAGATAATTCTTCTAAAGCACCAACAGCAAAATCATACAGTTTGAAAACAGAACTAATTAGGTCTGCAAACTCATTAAACGGATCAGTCACAAATGAAAAAAAAAAAAAAAAAGAGGAAACAGTAAAGATTTGGAAAAAACATATGGACGAAAAAAGTACCAAGGCAGAGAAGCATAGCTCACAGCAAATACACCTTTTCTGTAATCTTTCCAATGAAAAATTGAAATATTACAGATCGTCTGGAAAATGCAACAAAGAACATAAAACCCCGAATTAAAAGTCCAAAGACGAACACACTACAATAAACAAAACAAAGAGAGATAACCCAAAAAAGATAAAGGAGAAAAATATTCCAATTGTCTAGAAAATGTACAAAGCAATAACAATACTCCATAACATCATAATATACGAGATAAATTAGCATAAATCAGCGAATTCATCCCATATAATAGTAAGAAAGTAGCATTACAACTTCAGCAACAAAAACATGACATTACAAAGTAAAACATCATAATCTATGAGAGATATAATCTTGCCACATGCTTGCTTCTATAGAATCCCTAATAATTGCACCATGCCTAGCATCATCATCATTACGTGCATTGGAAGACTCTTTGGTTTGTACCTCACTATTTGAGAGTTCAATATAAACCTCAGCAATCAATCTTTCCTAAAGATCAACTCCCATGAGATAATTATGAAAGATACAACATGCTAGAACATTTTAGTTACCATGTCGACAGGATAATGGGCATCTACACCAGTTCCAATAATTGGAAAACATTTTTAAGCACTCCAAATGTTCTTTCAATTATATTACGAAGTGAAGAATGTCAATGGATAAATATTTCTTAGGGATTTTCTGGAGCACATGCGAAGTATTCTTTCAACTTTCAAGTGATAGCGCACACCTCACACCACTATATGGAGCAATAAGGCCACTTCTGAAGATGTAACCTCCATCTATGAGATAATATTTACCTAGAAAATAAGAAAGCATCTATTAAAGATTTTCATACATAGATTATATTTTAGTAACGCAAAATTACCTCTAAGAATCAAGAGTTTATCTTCCCTAGTTAAAGCAATTTTTAATATTCTTGAGTCAATGCAGTCCATTCCCATCCTAGTAATACATATGTAAATTTCATGTCAAATGACCAAGTTGCCAAGACATTTTGTGTTAGATAATTTCTCCTCCCTCACTATCTTGGTGCATCAACTTCAGATACCTTGACACAAATATGTGTCCCATCAATTGCACCCACACAATACTAAAATGTTTAAACATCAATTCTATTGAGAGGTTTTCTCTAGGCAAAGGTATTAAGGGTACGGTTACCTTAAAGTATGGATAAAATCTATCATTGTTGAGTATCTAAAGAGGGACCTCTGAACCGGTGGGTTGCTTTAGAAATATACCTTCTAAACTAATTATAGCTCTTAGAACTTCATGAAAGTAGCGACTTCCAGTCTCACCAAATCGACAGAAGATAAATTGCATTTCACAGTTTGTTACATTACGTGCTATTACATATAGAAATTTAGCCATTTGTTCCTCAACAAGAGCATTCATATTATCATTGAGACGTTCGGTCCTTCGGAGTAACTCACATAACCTAGCAAAAGTATCAATCCCCATGCTATAATGTTGCAACATTCTTCACTACTGGTGAGTTATGTCACGAGTTCTTGCCTTACACACTCTCTTTCTCTATTCTTTGGGCCAATTGTTCTATCAATGTATTGTGAATGTTCAATAATCCTGATTAAGACAAGAGAATGAACCACATGACAAACAAGTTGAATGGTAGTCATACGCCATCTTCGTTCCAAGCTCTCTTCCCCGTTATCCTCTTAATTATCCTCCTCAATACCGTCCTAAGTTCCTTCCAAACTCTCTTCCCGCTCCATCTAGAAAATTAAATTGGCTAAACTTAGGAAAACTAATATATTTATGAGAGTTATCAAACACCTATGTACACTTTGAAAGTCATTGTCCAAAGAAAAATCAAAAAATACAATAAAAGAGAAGATTTCCAATTTAGCCAATTCCACAAAATCTATCATGCGAAAAATAAACTGAAAAATGAGAATCGGCAGATCACACTGGATAATCGTAAATTGAAAATTGCAAAAATCAATTTTCGATTTAGCCACAGAATTTTAATTCGAACATTAAAAAAATTGATTCAAGCATACAAACACAAAGAGCTTCCCTGATTTGATCGTTCAAGCATATCACACTGGACAATCGTAAAATAAGTAAATATTTCGGAACTTGAAAATTGTAAAATCGATTCAATCTATTGAAAGATATTTGTGTAGACAGAGAATCACACGAAAAATTGAGGAAGATTATAAAGCTTACCTATGGCGATCATCGAGGGGATGAAATCGGAAAATAAGATGGGCAGCTGATTTTTGCTTCTTCTCTACAGTTTCTAGATTCCCCCGACTGGCAGATGACGTTGGGTTTAGGTGTTTTAATTCCACTGATTGAATATGAGTTTCAGTTTAGGTGTTTAATATAAATAAGTAATTAGTTAAAGGCTAAAAAAGTAAATACCATATTTTTACCCAATATGAGTATCATTTTCCTTCTTTTTCTGCCCAATTTTTGGGGGATTGATTTTTGAGATTAGGAAGAAAACTCATTGATCCACTTTTTCATCCTTTTCATTTTCCTTCTATACCAAACATGATGTTTTGTCTATCCTTCCAACTTTCCATCTTTTTACTTTTTCATTGTACCAAACAAAGCATAAAGGTTGGTAGAAAAGAAGATGGGGAGGATGTAGTAAGGAAACCAGCAAAACTGAAATTTCTAACGATACCATGCAGAGAGTAAATGTACAAACATTCAGGGTAGTGGAAGGACACCCTGTCATGTCCCTTTTGTACTTCACCCTTCAACTTCTTTGGATGTCCATTAGTGTATAAAAATTTGAAGTTCTACAAAGAACAAAAACACAATTAACCAAAATATGGCCACAGGAATGAAAAACATAATTTCTTACATAAAAGCAAAAGTGCAGCATGAGCCAAAATGGTAGGAAAATGCAGGTTTTGAATAGATAATGACTAACCTGTGACCTTTGGCACCAGCAGGTTACAGTGTGAAAAGCCCCCTAACGACTACACAAAGATAAACAGCAAAATGAAATGCAAGAGCAAGAAGGAAGAAACATATGCATTCCAATATTGCAAGAGAACAACATATATTTTCCCAATATCAATTACAAGTACCATAATATGTTGAAATACAACACTTAATTTTGAGATTAATGCCTGCTACATGCAAAAGGAGAATCGCTTTCCCCCCAAACACCACCACACATACTCCCACCAACCCACCACCTTCCCCCCCCCCAAAAAAAAAAATAATAATAATAATAAATATAAACAAACAACCAGTTGGTAGACAGAAGCAGGGGAGCAATGGCGCAAAAAACCATAATAACAAATTTTCAAAACAGGCCCCTTCCTAAAGCCAAACCGCAGTGGCATGAAACATGCTATAAGACAATCACGATGAGCATGGATTTACAAGCACATGAATAACTGAAAAAGAAAAGGAAGCAACCATGCCACGCACTGATATCCATCCGGTACCCATGTAGAAAAGATCTCACAAAAATCATCAGAAAGATTGACCAGCCATTTCCCAGATATGTGGCAGAATTCAAATAAATGACCCATATTTCATTAGACAAAAATCATATAGAAAGTATACAGGTAACTCCCAAATTGCGGTTTGAAACACATAAATTTAACACTAATAAACACTTGCTGAGAGAAATTTAACACAACTTACAAGATTCCTTTCCCAGACCGCAAACCTCTTTTCACTCGGTGGCTCCATGATTTGATACCATCAGAATAATTCCTCCTGAAGTGACCTTGTCCAAACTTTACGTGAGACCACAAAATCCTCAAACCACGTTAGCTCAACAGCAGGGACAAGTACATTGTAGGAGAAAATTTTAGATGGTGATTTTATATCTTTACATTTTCATAGGGAGAGGGAATGATTGTTTTAAATTGTAAAATCTCTTCTGGCCACCAATCAACTGTTCATGGTGCAATAATTTTTGCAGCACTTGGTTAATTGATTCATTCAAACAAATGTAGCATTAACAACACAGCTTGGTCATCAGCCAACTATAATATGTTGATCCCTGTGTGTATATTTGGAAAAAACCAAGTGAACATATGAAGTCCTCAATATTATATACATAAAACATGTAATGCAAATCTCAAAAAGTGTTGAAGGAACTATCGAGAAATCCATGGAGCTCAAAATTCTGCAAAAAAAAAAAAAAATTACAACAGAGAAGCCCCATAATTTGTTAGAACAGACACGTTGTTTGAATCAAGGAGGATTTTTAATGATTTCTTTGAATAGGTATACAAAGGATGGCAATATTTACAAGTGCCAATTGACCTGAGACATATCTAAAGGTAACTATTTTTCCCAAACAACAATATGGTCGTCTAAAGAGTTAAATAATCCAGAAGAATGCACAATATTTTGTCATGATCAAAACATGTTCAACTCTGAAAGGTCATCCATAGGTATTTCAAGGCCCATTGAATCATGGTCTTGTAAACCATCCTCATCAAAGTTCAACCACGAACAGAGATCTTGATTTCCATCAACGTCAGCACCTACATTTAGTTCTTCCATCGGATCTAACCTATGAAGCTCCAAGTTTGCAAACCCCATTGGTTCTCTGTTATCCATCGATGAATCCTGAGGAATGTTACCAGGAGACATGAACCCAACCTCTCTTTTTCTGTTGCCACTACTATTGACTAATTCAGTAGAACCACTAGCTGAAGTACACACAGGATGTGTTGTTTCCGTGAATGGGCTAGAAAATCCATTTCCAGATGTTGATAGCTGAGCTGTTTTCTGCTTAGGTTTCGTTTTCGTTTTCATTTTGCGCTCACCCTTAAAGCTACACATAGATGAGCATCCGGATTTGGGAAGAGCATTTCTGGTTGAAGTATCTTTGTCCCTCTCTCTTTCGCTTCTCTTTCCCTTTGTTCCACACAAAGGAGAGGTACCAAGAGTTGATGAGGTTCTCAAGGCAGCATTGCCAACTACGTCATCAATAAATACTTCCTTTTTCTTCCCTCTGTTTGATATTGGTCCTTTTTTGGCAAAAGCTTGATCACTCAAAACTTCAACTGCAGATAACGGACCCCCATCAGCACTACTGACGAAGGAACCTGTTAAAGCAAAAAAGCAATTCGTTGACACAGCCAAGCTGAGTGAAACTAAAGTTTCTAAACTAAATACTAAGAAATCCAGGGGTGTTGGGAGCAAGTCAACATGAGTGAGCCAAAATATGTTTTACAGATCACAGACCATGTAGATAGACCCAACAAATACCACCTTCTTTAGGTGTCTAGCAGAACTCAAGCATCACAAAAGAAAATAATTGCCCAAAGTTATGCAATATTCATGAAATGATAACCAGGCATTCTGCCTTATCGCATGGGGTCAGTCTGAAGGTCATAGAAGTTGAGATGCTTACAGTTAGAACCTTCCAGGCCAGCACAAGTTGTAGCTTCTAACTCATTGCATCGAAGAGGTGCAGCAAAAATAATATCCCGAAGTGCAGGCTCAATAAAGCAACTTGTCCCTGAATCTTCAAATTGCCTACATCTAGCAAGAGTCCTCTTCACAAAAACCAAGGCAACTTGTTTTGACACCTTAGCAACCCTACTTTTAGCAGCACTACCTCCTCTAGTAGCCTGTGAAATTAACCCGAGATATATTTGAGGATTTAACTCGAAAGTAATAGTTTGCAGAAGCATAGCTACTTTGATGATATTCAACCAACAAAAATTCAAACTATTGGAGAAAGGATATAAAAATATGTGAACTTTTGCATTCTTTACAAATAAAACGGTTACTGTAATCAGGAGAAGTTCATTCCTGTCCAATTAATTTTCCATCATCAGACAAAAATTCTGATTTGATCTACAAAACTATCCCACAATACCCATTCTCCACTCCACTTCTCCAACCATCAAAATAAATTGAAAAAGGTGCCAAAAGGTATTTAAGTGCATCATTATGGAGGGCATACGGTTATATACTATTCCATCAAGCTTGGAAGGAATGGAAAATTAAGAAAGAAAGACAACAAGGTAAAGGCAGAATCAAAAAGCAAAAATATTTAGTTTTCGCCAAGAAATTTCCCCGTGCATTTTACAAGCATCAAGGCAAAAAACCTCCAAGGACAAGTTGAGCAACTCCAACAAACTCGAACAAGGTATATGACCTCTTGTATATTCTTCCAACAAGGGTGACATAGCAATGGAACTCAGATAGAGATCACACTAAGCAGACAGGCAAAATACAGAGGAGTACAATGCCAGTTAAATGGCAGACACATCTTCCTATGGATATTTTTGCATCGTTACAGTGGGCTTAGAGTAATACATTATTCCATATTCACCATTTTGGAAGAACTTAGAAAATAAGAAAGAATGACATAAAGGTAAAGCTAGAATTAAAAATCCAAATATTAGTTTTCATTTGAGAGATATTTGTAAGCAAGTATTTTTAAGAAAAAAGTTCCAAAGAATAAGATCAACAACTCCAACAAACTTGACAAACGTATATGACCTCTTGTATATTATTTCGACGAGGGTGCAATGTCAATGGAACTTAAATAGAGGTCACACTGAGCAAACACAGGGAGAATGCAGAGGAGCGAAAATGGTGGATACATATTCCTATGTTATAAAGCGTTAAGAGTATGGGCTCTAGTTATAGACACAAAAACATTGCAAGAAACATTACGAAACATCACAGAGCAATCCGAAACATTCCAAAGATGGGAATTTTGAATTTCAACCACTAATTTGTTTTGGTTTCCACTGAAACCTAAACTCTTTGAGTGAAACAAAACAAAAGTTTGATCCTTGGCTTCTACTTTTGGAGAAACAACCAGTAACAGGAAAAGGAATGAACAATTACCAACAGCTTTTTGTAAGCCAACTCCACCATTCTATCCATTGCAATCTGTTCAAGGTCCCTGCACACAGTAACAAACATTGTAATCACCTCAACATTACCAACATATCTGTAAACTAGGCTCATGATAGAAATCTTAAAGGACCAATGTCATAAAACCATGCAAATATTGAGTATTTACCGTCCTGCCACTTCCTTCCCTCCCTGAATGATTTCATATATTTTGCCTAAGCACATCTTCTTTTTACCAATCTAAGATGTCAGAAATAAAATAAACAAAATTTATTAAGTAATATGTCATAGACATATAAAAATAGAACGAATGTTCAAACAATGTTGTAATCACATTGTGCCTGTGCTGTGAATATATAAAATTTCTGATCAAATGAGGTAACAGATATGTTTGTCGATAGAGAGATGTTATATGAGGCAAAAAGTTAAACTAACGCGACATAACCTGTTCATAAAGTCCCCTCTTCAGCTGCACAATTTCTTGATTGAGCACTTCATCCTCTCTATCATCTAAGTCAGGCTGCGGTATCCCAGAAAGAAAGGCAAATATAGGGGAAAAAACACAACAAAATTTAGAATAATTAGAAATAAAAGCTAACTAGGGTTAGAATGCTATAATTTAAAATGAGCGCACCATTCTATTCACATACAAATGAAGAACAATACAACAATGTAACCTTCCCCCCCCCCAAAAAAAAAAAAAAAAACACACACACACACACAAGCCTCAGACAGTAGACTTTCACACAGAAAATGTTGCCAGTGGAGCTGGAAAACTTTATAAAATAGCTTTTTAATTGAAAATTGATAACCACCATTTCATTGGCATATATTAGTTAAACCTACCACTGCTTCTGGATATAGGCCGATACTCTGCAGCTCCAGCAACAGTTTATCATCTAGACACATTTTCTCAAATTGGCAATCAACGGAACAAAAGCCAAAACCATTCTTTCCTATACTCTGTGGTCCTTCCAGATCATTTCTTGAAAGCTTAGCCAACACCTCGACATGTGAATGCATAGATACACTATCCCCTACCAATAGGTCATTATTACATGGGGGATTTTGGATACTGGTGCTTCTACCAAAAGTAATATTCCCGTTGCAAGAAACTAATCTGCTTCCAGTACCATGGTCCTGAGTTTGAACGCCAAACATCATCTCACATTCAAATTCTAACCCATCCCTCCTTTTAGGTTCAGTATCAATGAGTAGGTGTGCATTGAGAGGTGAATCGCCAGTAGCATTCTGAAGCAACACATTTCTCCCTGCATCAATTTCTTCGTATTCTTCAATATCATCTTCTACAATGAGAGCTGATAGAATTCTTTGGTACAGTGGAGTAACTTTGTTGAATATTCTTCCTGGGTCTAGTGTTCCAAATAAAGAGGTGTCCTGAGATTGATCAACCAACTCGAATATACTACCTGACTCCTTGGATCCACTTTGATTTTGCAAGCGCCTATATCTTTTTTCACAAACTGTATCAGATACAGAAACTTCTTCATGCACAAGATCAACCTGAGAAAGCAAAATAAGTTCAAAACTATACATATAAGGATCCAGAACAATTCATCCACATATCCACATGATTAACAAAAGATAAATGGGTACTATCCTCTTGTGATTAATGAATGTTAAACTATACAAAAACAGTTCACGAAAAATCCATGTAAACACAGGGCATACCTGACAATAGAGAACACAAACTCAAAAGGAAGGTAATCAGAAATAAGGCTAATGTTGAGATGGATGGAAGGGAGACAATGAGAACAAACAAGCAAAGGAAGGAGAAATAAGGCATATGAAAATGAATTAAGTGCATTCTCAGAGTACATCGAAACAGACGAGTGTGAATTAATGCTACTATAATGGAGAAGGGTTTGTACCATCAACAAATAGTCAAAACTTTACAGACAAAACTATTGGGTTTCTCTTGGGCGAGAAAAGAATTGGTGGGCGAGCAAAGCACGAAAGAAAGTACAAGAGAACCTCATATAAACAAACAAAAACAAAGAAAGATTAAAAAGGGACGATTGGATAAGTAGACTGCCAGATGAAGTTCTTCTTTCCATTTCATCGTTGTTAACAATGAAAGAAGCAGCAAGAACTAGTGTGCTATTAACAAGATGGAAATATATGTGGACTTACATTACTAAGCTGAATTTTGATGCTTCAAAGATTTTGGATGAACTACAATTTCCCAATAAGTTACTTGACAGGGGAAGGCCTAAGTGCGTGCATTGGGTGAATCAAGTTCTAATTTTTTTCTTTTGTTTCCATTCCCATTTCTAAGCTGACCGGTATTGTGCACCGAAATGAAATTTGATCCTTGCTAGAAGCCAATGTACCTTGTGGCAATGTAACTGGTCTCACATTCAACCTGTTTGCTGTTTATTCATGCTATGCATTGCAAATTGTAAGGTTTGCTTTTTCTCAAATAAGTTGAAATGGAAGGCATGGTCAAAAACTTCTATGGTTCGTACTACCACTTTAGCATGGATGGAAGGAAATTTACTTCTTAAAAGTAACTATTCTTGGGGCTTAACTTGCAAGATTATTTTTAATGAAACGGTCAATTTTTTCCTTCGATGAAATGAAAGTTTTGTTTCCTATCAAAAAAAAAAAGATAGACCAGAAACAGATAATGATAGACAGTCCCTTGCTTTTCTTTTTTGCTTGTTATTGGGCTTTAGATTTTCTTAATAATGGAACACGTCAATTCATAAAAAGTCAGCAGTGAAATGACTCCTATGATGAAGTATTATTAAAAATTGTTTCCAATTTGCAGTATATCATCCTGTGCTTCTCAGATTGCTGTTGTTGCTCTAACTTATGGTTGCTATAGGATAAATGTTTATGCACTTAGCTCAAGGTGTTGAAGTAGCTTAAGACCAGAGAAATTTGTTATGGATCTATTTGGTCCTGTATATGATGTTTCCCTCAAGAATAGTGATGTAGACTAGGAAGGGAAGAATTAGGGATGGGAAGAGAAGAAAAAAGGGATGAGAAAAAGAAAGAATTTTGAGAAGGAAGTAATATCAATACTCAATAATCATCAAAGTCTAATCTAAATAAAACCCTTACATGCATCCCTTTATATAGGGAAACTAAAACCCTAAAATAAATAAATAATGACAAATAAACTCTCATAAGTTAAAAAAAATTACTTAAAAGATAAATATTAAAAGTATCTAATAACTACCATAATTAATCTATAATATCTATCCAATTTCTACACAATCCCCATCATTCTCCCACGGTTGAGAAAAACTCTCTTCCAGAGAGTTTTCAAAGTAGAAGTACACTACGAGAACAGAACGAAGATGACAGAACGCTTCATCTAGAATGAAAAAACCATCAATGTCTCTTTCCATTGAGCAGAATAAATACAACAATCTCCATCTGTAGCAATGTAAATTTGGTCACGAAGCATATCATCTATTTGGCTCGAAATATGCGATGGAAGTGGAAAAATAAGAACTAGAGTTAGTGCTGAGGAAGAAGCAATTCCACCAGCTCGATAACAAAATAGGAAGTTCTGGAATACCTCAATTAAGTAGCATGTCCTCCAAAAAAAAATTTGGACTAATACTAACATTCAATGAAAAATTAAGCAAATAAGCATTAGATCCAAATTCAAGAATAGCAACACAATTCCCATTAAATTTGAACAAAAGGCATTCAGTGGGACAAGACATCAATGACAAAGGAGTAAGTATAACACCCTGGTGTTGAAAATAAGATAGTACAGACTCAATAGAACACTTGACAGTAGGCAAAGAAACAAAGTTTACACTCTCAAGTGGGACAGAATCCAAAACAAAGTCAACAATCTTAGGTGGAGAAGAATCCACAATAATGCCATCATGATTCGAAATATTAGACATAGAATAATTGTTAACAGATTCTAAAATAGATAGTTCAATATGTTCAACATCTTGCATAGGAACCAACTGAATGGATTTTTCCTCAAGTTCAATAATTAGTGATGATTCAACTTTTGACTCCGATGAAGTAGGAAACATGATAGGATCAAAAATAATCTCATCACTAGCATCAATGTTCAAACGATTGAAAGTATGTTTTGAATGATGAAAAGCATAAGAGTCCAACGGAAGAGAAATATGGCTATCATTATGCGGGTGTCTGACATTAGGTGAAACCGAAGACTTGTCCTTATTTTCTTCCATTTGCTAACTTGCAAGAATTTTAGTCAAGTGGGAAAGTTGAGTTATTAATTCAGATAATTGGTTTTTCATCCCTCTACACTCTTCACGTAATTGGCCGAGTGAATGTTTAGTATTGGCAACTCCAATTTCAAAGATCTCAACATTTTTCTCTAGGGCAGTTTGGACTTTTGAATGCTCACTAATGACATTGAAGATAGATCCAAATTGACCTTGATGATGACTTTGGGAAGCATGACGTCGGTAACTGTTATGCGACCTAAGTGTCCCAGAGTAGTATTCAAGACAATCTTCATAATAAAACTCAAACTTACTATGGACTTTATGATGACTCCGAGAACTATAAGAGTGGAATAGGTATAGTGATGACGTTGTGGAGAATTGTGAACTTGAGACATTCTTGATGTTGGATAAGTATATAAATAGGCATCATAACGATCATATGAACTCATGATTGACTTTGAAAGATGAGAATAACATAAGAATGTGTTCAAGAATGCAATTGATAATTACAAGAAGTGAAAACACTTAAATAGAAGAAAATATGTTTTGGACCATTTGCAAATTCTCTAATTTCCCAATAAATAAAAATATTAGTCTCAATTTC